ACATTTCTATATGGATAATCTAATGTACCTATTGTCTTGTCATGTTCTTAATCATTAAATACTCTATTTTAAAATCATCTTTAAAATCAACAAAATAACTTTAAATTTAAATTTAAAAGAGTATATTTTTATTAAATTTATAATTTATTATCACGATTGAAAAGCTATTAATAAAAAAAAAATCAAACCAAAAACAAAAAATTCAGAGCAATATTGAAAATTAACTCAAAATAAAATATGGTTCTGAAAACAAAACCCAAAAAAAATATGATCAAACAAATCAAACAAAGAATCAACAAACTTTTATTAATTAATTGAGTCACTAAATAATAAAACAGTATATACCATATTCAGAGTCCAGAAATTCAAATGGCTATAAAAACTTATACCAAATATAGTATAAGTACACCACATGCTTAATTTTTAAATAATATGCTCTTTTGATTGAAAGCTTATTTGATTTTGAAGTATTTTGAAATTTTTCATTTTTATATTTGTATTCCAATAATTTGAATACATTCAAATTTTCCTTTAAAATTTATAACCCCTCAACTATTACAACAAATTTTAGCTAAAAAATTGGCGATTTTTCAAAAGAAAATGATCATTGAGTCAAATTCTACATAGAATACACATTTTTGTTCCGAAAAATATTATCAAGTGTAAATTAAATAATAAATTTAGTTTCAGAAAGCATTTTCGGTTTCAAAATTGACCCATAACCCTTGGACTATTTTGTTTTTAATATTCAAAATTGCAAATTCAGTTTTGGGAGAAACTTTTCTGTAGAACCGAATTTTTCAATACGCTACAATTATAAATTTTGCAGCGCAAAGTCTTGGAGTTCAATTCAACTATAGATCTATGCGCATTTGAACTGAAACTTTTGAAAATCCCGTACAACATAATTATTATACTTTGGTTTTGTAAATAATACTTATAAATATGTTAAATATGATTTATAAAATATGTATGTTAAGTGTTTCCTTAAGCCTAGTTTGAACGCACTTATATTTCTCATTACCCATTCAAGGATTGCTGCACAATTCAGTGAAATATAAGTACCACACAGTTGGCCAGATCAACTCTATTATTTCCTTATAATTTTTTTTTTTGTTTTTTTGTTTGTGTGTATATAAATATAGTTGCGTTCGGTAATAATTTAGTTAAATGAAATTTTAAAGAATTAAAGAAACAACTTGATTCAAACTGAAGTGAACTCAAGGCGCATCATCGAGACAAAATGTAGTCAGTTGTTGTTTTGACCATTTATTATTATTTGTTTCTGCTTTTATTATTTATTTTTGCTTCGTCAATTATTATTCTTATTTTTGTTTTATTTTAGTATATTTAGTTACCATTCATGGAATCTAACCTAAGAAAAGTATGAAAATTAATAAAAGAAAATTGATTTTGTTTTTGTTTTTTTTTTTTTCATACTTTAATAATATTTTTTGTACATATGGCATGGGTAGGTACACGTATGGAAGAAGATCTGCTAATACGCTCATAATGTGGGTGGAAAATTTGGTATAAATATTTTTCGCTTAATATTTTAATTTTTTTTTATTTACTTTTTATTTTGGAATTAAAGCGCAATATTTCATTAAAGAATTAATTTTGTCATTTTTACTGTCAGAATTTAGATTTTTGTGAGGTGATTTTTTTTTATTATAATTATATAATGCTATTAAAAATTTTATTTTCGTACAGTTTCGTGTAATTTTTTATTTTCAAATTAACGAAATTAACAAAAACTTTCGTTGATGAATTTTTCAAGATGACTTTTTCTGACTTATTAATTTCAAACATTCTTAAAATTTTGTACACTCATTATTTATTTCCGATGACATTTTGCTAACACTTGACATAATTTAACAAAAAATAGTCGTCGATTTTATAATATACATATGAAAAATATAAATTTTTTATTTAATTTACAACGAAATGTAATGTAATTTGTATAGGAATCAATTAGATCTGTAAACAGTTAAAAACTTTTTAACCCGAAATTTGTGAAACTTTCTATAAACACGTCATGTAATTATAAAAACTAAACTCGGTATAAATACCATAGGCTCAAAAATATTCACGTTTAAAATCTAGTTTTGATATCGATTATTTAATGTACACACAAAATATGTCAATTATTTCGATTCGATTTATTGCCACCAATGAACGTCATTCTATTCACGTTATAATATTTCAAAATTAAAATACAAATAAATCGCAATAATATTTTGATTAAAATTTTAACATAAGCAGGCTAGCAACAAGAAGTAAGCAGTCATCACACCACATAGTTTACGATTTGTTTTTTTTTCAGAAAATATTTTAATGTAATTTTTTTTTTTCAGTTTTTAACAAAATTTTTGTTCTGCTTCCTTAACCATAAATTATATTTAATATTCTTTTTATTTTACATATAATTATTATTTAAATTTTTTTTTTTTGCAATAATTTTTGTCATTTTATACGTATCATCTGTCAAAATGAATCCATATACCAAATCATCAGAGTTGTTAACCAAAATAAGAATATTGGTATGCCAAAAATAAATAAATTTCATTTACAAATATGGATACAAACATGTTTTTTTAGTGATTTTTTATAGAGTTTTTAATTTTTGGTCAGTCATAATTTGTTGTTATTTTTTGGTTAAAAATATAAAAAGAAATAATTTTTTTGGGCTATAATTTTGGCAATTTGTTAAAGTTAAACTATAATATTATATTTATGTATTGTAAATTTCATAAATATTATATAAAAAATTGATTTAACGTTTAGAAATGCCAAAAAATACTCACACGAAACTATTGAATGAATGTTAAGTAAAATTAAGTCTTGAGTTTACCAGTAAGGCTGCGGAAATGAGTAAGGAAAAGTAAACATTCAACAATTCAAAGTTTTCAAATTATCTACATAATGTATCTGTCGGTTATATTTTTTAACAGACCCAGAAACAGATTTACTTGAAATACGAATATTAATAAATAACTTTTAAAATAAATTAAGTATAAACATTTTCGCAGTACATGTTTTGTATTGACGCTACGTCATAAATGTCACTTCCAATTGCTACTGTAATTCATTATCAGTTTTTAAATTTTCTTATGTTTTTTTATGTGCTACTACATTTTGTTACAGAACAATTTTAACAAATTAGTGCTTAAATCGCATACTCATTTGGCTACATGATCGTTGTAGGAAACTCCCAACTCTAGATTTTGACTTACAATGCCGATTGTTCCACACTAGTTCTTATAAAGTTCTAAATTAATTCTAAAAAGTTCTTAATTATTTTTTACAAATTCTTATGAATTTTATGAATTTCGCTTTTTATAAAAACTCAATCCTAATAACGAAGGAAACTTACATAATGTATGTATGTATATAGTAAAAGGTACTCGTATATTCACATATTTGTATAACAAATAATTCCGCATTTTCCAAAATTTACAAATAAAGATGAATTTATTTTTATTTTTAATATTTTTTATTCTTATGATTTTTAGAATAGATGAATGTCATTTTTATTAGCGTTAAAAAAATTTTATGACTTTGAAAACTTACTTTTTATTTCGTTTTTTCTTTTTGATTTTGTAAATTTTCCATAACAAGAGGTTTTCTATAAAAGGCGAGTAATATTAGATCTTAAAATTATATGGAAAAAAATTAAAACTTCTTGTTTCCGAAATTTTTTTTTTTTTTGATAACTAAAAACGTTTTTGCTTTTTAATGTAGAAAAATGTTACTTACTTTAAGATGGTTATTTCTTTTAATGTTTAACTTACCTTCCGGATAACAAAACAGCAAGCGAACATCAAAATTTAAGGTTAGAACAAGATAATTAAATTCTTATGTATTAATTTAAAATCTACTTAAAAAGTTTCAAAACTTTAAAATTGTTGATTTTATTGAATTTAATAGAAAACAATGAAGTCATTAAAATTAATTGTATTTGGTATTTTTATTTTTTACTTTTATTGTTATTAATATTTATTTTTAGGTTAAAACAAATAAATCACTTGTAATTTTGGAATTTATATGAAGCTTATGTTTTAATGCATCTTGAAAAATTTCAAAAAGCTGATTTTGTGTTTCTACTTTGTTCCGTTGTCTGCCTTTTAATACTACTGATAAATTAGCTGTTGGTAAAATTTTGACAAACATGCAAACATAATTTTAAGAACTGAGTTTTTCTTATATCTACACTAAAACCGATTCCAAGGAAAAGAGAAAGTCTATTTTAGCATAACTTATAATCATATTTTAAAAAAATCTAAAAAATTTTGCTAATTTTTGAACAAATTCTTAGAGCTATTTCTCGTTATTTTTATTTTGTTAGTTCTATCAATACTTAATTGTTAGAAGTCATCTATAATACTTAATTTTTAGAATTGTTAGACGAAACAAATGTGATCTGATATACAAACTCGTTTTAATTTTATTGGATCTTAAGTTGAGTTGAGTTGATTGGATCTAGTTAAGCAATGTACTGAAAACTTTTTGTCTCATATATTCCATGTACTCTTATTTTACATAGTATTCTATGTTATTTTTATTTGCATTTTAAGTACTCTTTGGTCAATAAAAGAGATTCAATGTTAATTGACTTTAATTATTTAATTATGATGACTAAGATGTACAATGATTTCTACAGCCATAAATGTAAGACAAAATCATTTTAAAATATTGTTATTTAATTTATTAAATTAGAAAAATTAGTTTCTATATAAAATTTACATTCATTAAAATTTAAATTTCTTTTATATACAAAAACTTAAAAATAAAATTTTTTATTTAAAATTATTATAATTCTAGTATATTTTTAACAAATATAATCTTTTCATTTTAACAATAAATTGACTAGAAATTTCACTTTTATAGCAAATATTTTTGATTATCAATTAATTTGCTTAAAAAAATATATTTATGTTTTGTAAACGAAAAATATTTTAAAAACGAAATATTTAAAACGTATATAAACTTTGGTAAAAAAAAAAATTAACAACAAGATCAATAATAATGCAACACTTTTAAAGTAACAATTTAAATTAAAATTTAATCAACTATACAAAAAAAAAAAATTATAAAGGTTCAAATTTTTTTTTATGAAAAAATTTCCAAATTCAGTCATATAATAATTTGAGATTTACTTCTTTTACATTAAAAAAAACTGTAAAATGGCGGAAATTCGTTAAAAGCAATCAGAATTTTTTTTTTCCCTATAATTCTAACTTTTATTAACAGCTGCTGCAGTAGCAGTTTTATTCATATTTGATTCTACATGATTTCTTATTGATTCTATTGCAGTTGACTGATGACTTGATGCTAATATTGATTTAGCATTACTAGAACCAGTTACTAAAGCAGCAGCAGCTGCCGCAGCTTGTGCATGTTGAACATCACCGGGTAAATAATCTTTCCAACTTCGAAAAAGATATCTTGTAAATTTTTTTAATTGTCTAAATTTACAATAAGTTGCACCTTCAGCTGACTCTAATTGTTGAGTTTGTATTAGGAATCCTTTATCCTTAAAAGTTTGTTCTAATTTTTCACGTTGAATTGAACGTTTCGATTTTCTTTTTTTTCGATCATGTAAACAGTTTGATCGATGTTCTCTACGTATACTAGATGATATCGCTGGTGGTAATAATAAGGCACTTGGTGGAGTATCAGGAATTTGTAATAATTCATTACTTAAACCAGCTGATGGTGGTGGAAGATCAGTTGAAATTTTTTCACCAGTTGCATTCAAGAAAGCACCTGAACAATTTACTCCCGGAATGACACCTGATTGTTGTAAACTTTCTCTTGGAAAAAACTCATAACCTCGACTTGATTTATCACCAGTTCCACTAAAATAACGATAATTACCTTCTGAATCAACTGAAAGCATTTTTTTCTCTTGTAAAGTAGGTTTGGCACCGCCGGTGAACTTAAATTTGCAGATACTAACTTCAGTTGGAGGATTAGAAGTATTTTCAGCTGGCATTGGAGGAATGAATATCGCTGAGCGCTTACGCTTTTGTGGCGGTTGATTAGTGCTTGATGAGCCACAATTAGTTGTTGCCAAGCTTATACCTGATTTTATTGAACTGGGTGTAGAACAAGTTTCTGGACGTTCCGATTTTTCTTTTTTAATCAAAATTGATGGTGATTTACTCTGAGGTTTCGGTGATAATGAAAGATGTTTAATTGACAGATTTGTTGTACTTGTATTTACGGTTGATGGAGAATTGCACTGAGATGATGGTTGGAGATTATTTGAATCTATCATTTTTTGATAATATAAAGCCACCGGATGCATAAACATACGTGCGTCGTTCCATTGCCCACTATTAGATGCCGACGAATTTGTTTTCTCGTTTTCATTATTTTGTGATGGATGAGCTTGAGTATCAAGTTTTTCGTTGCTCGGTGATACCGAAGAACTCTTTTTAAAATTTGATAAAGATATTTTTAAATTTTTTGCTAATAAATTATCAGTAATTGTGTCTGCAGCTAATTCATGGGGGGTAGCATTACTTGACGTATCATAATCATTAGCGGAATCTTCATCATCACTAGAAATAGTATAAGAATCAGACTGATCTCGAAGACACAGATTTAAAGGTTCCTCAATTAGTACAGGGCTGTCATCATTAGTTTTCGATATTATTTCAGTAAGCTTTTTAGCTAAAATACTATTTGATTTATCAGATTCATTTAAACAGACATCTTTCGGAGTACCAGGAAATATAGTTCCATAATTTTTATATATTAAGTGGCATATATCAGCTTTTTTTGGTTTACGACCACGACGTGGTTTCGAATTTTCTAATGTCATTTCTCCCATATAAGGCAAGTCAGAATAACTGACTATCCTGGACGGTTTGTTTGCAACTTGTACTTCTTTATTATAATTTTCTAAGCTTTGAACTTCACACAATTGTTCAATTTCATCGTGTATATCAATCGGTTCGATGGACGTACTCACAGTACTTTCCGCCGCAATTGCCAATTCAGCAGCTTCTTTTGCGGCAGCAGCTTCTTGCATTTCTGCAATTTTTTGTAACCAATTTCTAACATTTTCTTGAGAATTCGCAAAGTTTTTATCATTGGATCTTGTTAAAGCTGCTACATTTGATTTTTTATTTAAAATATCACCATCTACATTCTTACTATTATTAACTAATTTATTGTTATTTAAATTAACATTGGCAGTGTTAGTATTTTGTTTTAAATTTAATTGATTTTGAGTAGCTTCATAGTGACTCAAATATTCAGGGGGTAGTGCTTGATGATGAAAACGTAATTTAAATGCACCTTTCCTTCTGGTACGAGTATTTCCCTGATTATTAGTTGAACGATTTTTCTTCACCTGTAATGGAGATCGTTGAATATGGTGATCTGTAGTATGTGTAATTGATATTGGATTATCTGTAATGTCATGATTTAGTGAACAATTTGGCATCATCATTGATTTTAGTTCATTTGGATTATCATCATCGACTGATGTTGCACCCCGTGATATTAAAGGATCATCAGAGTTTCTTAATAAAAGTTTTGATGTTCCTTTGTCTTTAATATGATGTGAATGATGATGATGCCAAGATGATGGACTATTATACAAATCAGAACTATTTATTTCTTCAATTTTTATACTAACTGATTCTAAGTTGGGTGATTTTGTATTATTGCGATGTAATTGTGAAGATGATGATGAACAAACATTGTATGTATCCACTATGATATTTGAAGGCGGTGGTGGTGTTATTGATGGATTTATTGAAGATGTTGTTACTGGAAGATTTGATGTACTTCCTGAATTTGTACTACTTCGTATTATTACACAATCTTTGTCAACAACACATTCTCCATTTAGGAGACTGAAATCATCACGTGATATATCTTGCATGCTATTGCCAACTGAAATTATAAAAAAAAAAATTGTTTTTGTTATTTATTTTAAAAATAGTTTTTTTTATTTTTTTTTTTGCATTTTGTAAGAATACACATAAATTTTTTTTTTTTTACTTTTGGCAATTTTTTGTAAAATTCTTGTTAAAAGTTTATATCGAATTACATATAAAAATTAAATGTAAATTTTAATATTTTTGTAAAATTTGAGATTGACAAAAAATTAAAAAAAAAAATTACCGATGAAAAAAATAAAATGAAAGCAACTGAGAAATTTTTATTGTCTAAAATTCATTTTAATTCACTTAATATTGTTTTGTAATAGCAAGGCTGTAAATTTTTTTTGGCGCAAATTTGATTTCTTCTGCTGTATTTCGTTATTTAAATAACCCATATTTTTTAGAAAATATACAAATTTTTGGAATATATTGTAGAGATAAAAATAGTGGTTCCTGTGTCCGGTAATTATTATATTCCTTCAAATGGAGTTTTTGCTCTATTGCAAAAAAGATGTAAAAGCTTCAATACTATACTTTTTCATAAACTGCTCTGTTCTAAATATGGTACAGTTATTTAAATTTGAGAAAATGATTGTCTTCTATAGTCTATAAGACTAGAACTTGTATTCAGCTAGTATGTTAACAAATCAGTGGAGATTTGAATTTAATGTGCTCAAAATGGCGTTTATTGACGTAAAAATTAATAACTTAGTAACTTATCAAAAATTTATTGTAAACGTACTTTTTTCTTATTCATAATTTCCCGCTTAATTCATAAAATGAAAATCAAATAAAATTATCACAATAATTTTAAATCATTCACAATTTAAACAATTCGCATTTTTTCTTTTAATTTTATAATTCACAGTTAGAAATGTTTATAACTTTAAAAATATACATAATTAGCACTGATGAAATAAATTTAAAAATTTTAAATATGAAAATTCAATAACAAGCAAAATAGAAGTGGTTTTTTTTTCTTCTTTTTTTTTTGTCGTTTCTTTTTTGAAATACATATTATTTATATTTGTCCTTTCATTAGAATAATATTTACGTATACTTACGTATACATATTTATATATGTATATATAAAAATATATCTACATATATGTAAAAAAGTTGTATTTAAATATTATAAAAACGCTATAAATAAATTTTAAATTTAATACCTGAAAATAGTAACTCTGGCAACATGATTCTCTATTATTTCTTTCTCTTTTACTCTTTTTTTGGTTTTTTTTTTGTTGTTATCTTTAATTTTTTTTTTGTCTTTATATATAAAATTTTTTAAATCTTTTTATTTTTTATTTCATAATATATTTTTTTGCTATTTTTTAATTAATATCTTTAAATTAAAAAGATATTCAATATCACAGTTTATTTTTTAATAAATAAAGTTTTTAATGAAAGTTTTTAAAGCCCGATTACAATTAAAAATGTTCAAAATGAAAAATGTGCTTTTTTGTAATTTAATATTTAATATATTGCAAAAATATTTTTGCTTTTTAATTAATTTTTTATTATTTTTATTTATTTTTATGATAAATAAATTTTTTATGAATATTTTCATAAACAAATAACTTTTATAATTATAATAACAAATTATCAATTAACGTTAACACAATTAAATAACAAAATTTAAATAACAAGTGGATAACAATTAAAAAAACAAAATAAATAAAAAATATATAATTAAGTAAATAAATAATTATAATTATGTCATTGCGAACCGTATATTATATTTATTTAATTTGACCTATATAATTATTGGGTGTATTGCATTTATTATAAACACGTACTATTGCGATATTTTCCACACGTATAACGTAATCCGTATTTAAATTTAAAAAACATTTCCGATTTATATTATTCCAAAAAAAAAAAAAAACTCTTATTTTTTACTTATTTTTAATTTATTTTTTAATTTATATATGTATGTATACACATATGTATACAATATACGTGTACAGAAAAAAATTTTCTTTTCAAATAGCAGCCGATAAATTTGACATCCAAAACGCAACTAAATTATAGTTACGAAAAACCAGAAACAGAAAAAAAAACAAATTTTAACAACAAAAATAACACAAACATAAAATAAATCCTCCGTAGATGGATATCTCATTAAAAACGGACAAAATGTCCAATCTATACTATAAGAATTTTTCAATTTTCTTAAAAAACCAGCTCCCTCTTCTCTCTTTTAAAGACTTATTAAAAATAAAAAAAAAACAAAAACAAAAAAAGAAAACAAAAAAAAACGTAAGAGGAAAAATGTGTATGTACTTGATATCAACGCGCCACCATCATGCAAATCTTGTACTAATATCCTTCTCACAAAACTGACATATTTTATTTATGGTTCTTTTAGCGGAAAATATTTTTATACAAATTCATTTCAACAATATATTATGTAGAATTAATTTTATTTAGACGTTTTTAACGTAATCTTTATATAGTAGAACAAGGTTCAATTATTCATAATTTTTTTTTTTATTAAAATATCAAAAACAATTTAATAATTTTAATGGAACTAAATTTATGAATAATGTTGTCCTGTTGGTGCGGTCAAACTTAACACAAAATTTGATCAATCAAACACTTCTCCAATTTAAATTAATGCACAAATAGTTATGTGAATCATATCTCCTGAAACTGAAATTTACTACCCCTGTACGTTACACTTTTGACACATAGACAACAAGTGTACGGTCATAGTTAAAAGCATTTCTATCGAAATCTCGTTTTCCCATCACGCGGTCACTACTTCACCATCACGCGATTCTATTTCTATTGTATTTTAAAATCGACCTATAAGCATGCAATAAAGATTTTTGCCTATAATTATGCAAAACATAATCATAATTTTTACATTAGAACCACATTCTTTTATCAAAACATAATTTTCAATAATACATTTATTTTGCTCTTATCATACATAATATATCTCATAGTTTATTGGAACAATAATAATATGCGTTTATTCTAATATACATATTTATTTTTCATTTGTTTTTCTTTCCCCTAAAATTTTTTTTAGGGAAATTGTGCCAAATGTGTTTGAATTTTTTTTTTATGTTTTTTTTTTTTAATTTTCTTTCTTTTTCTTTTTTTTATTTTTCAACACTTATAGATTTAGAAAAGCAACCACCTCTCTGGGTAGAAAATTAATTTACAATATAAGGGAATAATAGTAAAATATGATCTTGTTTACATTTTATACACCTTAAAGAGTACAACTTTTCTCTCTCTCTCTCTCTCTCTCTTACTTTTTGATCTTTACGTTCTCTTTATTTTCTTGTTTTATTATTATCCGCATGTTTTTTTTTTGTTTTTCTTTATTTTTGTATTTTTTTTATTTTTTTTTATTATTTTTATGTTTTGATATTTAAAGCTCTCTATAATATGCAAAGATTGGCAACTAAATTAAATCTTTCGGAGAGCAAAAAAACACTTATTTTGTTTTTGTTGTTTTGTTTATTTTTCGTTTTTTTTTTTGTTATCTTTTTGAAAATGTGAAATTAGCATGGAAAATATAATATGTATGTATGGATATAATATGTACATGAAAAATTTTAAAAATAAATTGCAGAAAAAATAAAAGAAAATTGAAAATAGGTTATTATTAGCTTGTCTACAAAGTCCTAGATAAAAAATAATACCAAAAAAGGAATTATTTTATATTAAAATGTATAATATTAATTAATGAGCAGGAAATTCATAACTTTTGGAGTACATGTGTATAATTCTTTATCGGCCTATATAAAGACAAACAGGTTTTGACGTAAGTTTTCTATGTGACTTAGAAACCTGGATTATAAACGTTGAGCGATTTAAACAACAAAAAGTGATTTAACAAAATTTTTAATTTGTTCTTAAATTCCTTTAATTATTATTCTTAAATAATATTTTTATTTATTTTTTAATTGTAAATATTTTTGAATTGAAATTATACAATTTTAATTCAATTAATTTCACCTATTTTAAGAACATTTTAAAAAATCATTGTTTATGATTATTGTTTATAGTATTTTTAAAGTGATTAGGGGGGCTTGTCTTCTCTTTTTTCATTATAAAATTTCATATACGTTATTATTAATGACAATTTGCGTTAAATATACTTTATGGATTAGATCCAATTTACGTCTATTAATATTAGCCATTTTTAAATTCATAGTCTATAAAAATATTTCATTGCAAAAAAAAAAAACATATAGCGTAATCACACAATAAACACATTTTTCATTTTTTTTTTATTATATTTGTATAACACGTGTGAATTAGTCCCATTTTTTGTGTTGCGTTATTTACACACATACATATATAGATAAAATCTCTACAGTAATGTCATTTAATCCGTTTCCAAAGTAAAAAAGAACGAAGAAATAAATTAACATAAAAAATAGAGAAGAGAATAGAGAATAGAAGGAAGAATTGAAAATTTTTTATGAGAAAAAATCAAACTAAAAAAATATTTTCCTTTTCCCCATTATTTTAAGATAAATTCTTTTATTTTTTATTTTATTTTTTGTTTTAAATAAAATTTTTTATTGCGTGTACAAAATAAAATTATCCCACTTGTTACGTATGAATGTATATAAGTTTGGTGCGTCTGCGTTGTTTGAAAAAATTTTTGTAGTTTTTCTCTTTTAATTTTTTTTTTCTTTTTTTATTATTTTTAATACAATTTTTCTTATATTTCTTTTATAGTTTTTCCTGAAAATGAACATTTACTTCGTGATAACATATTTAACTGATTCATTTTTATACATCGATGTCAATGTTCACATATATCCATACACACATATATAGATATTATACAACAAAATTTTTAAAATATTATGATAATACAAAATGATTTTATGTTATACAGGGTGATACAATTAATTTTAAAAGAATAATTAATTAGACCAACTGAGTTGAAAAAAAAAATATTAAAATCAGTGACATTTGGTTGAGTAAATTACATATAACTTAAGATTTTTTACCTGTTACTCACGCCTGTTGCAATATGCACTGATTATATATGTTTTATCTCGCGTATCATTCATATTTTACATTTTACTCCGTGGTACAATGTGAATTAGCAACTAAAGTAAAAATACTTTGGTCTTATGTTTTAAAAAAAAAATATTCCAAATTTTCAGAAAACTCAACCGGCTTTATTACTAGCTTCATGAATTGATATCAAAACCAGAAAATATTCATACCAGTGCTGACATGTATCAGTACAGTTCAAATAACTTCAAAACTTTTATTACAGAAATAATTAAATCAATTAATCTACTTAATTTTAATTACTTAATTTGATTAATTTATTTATTAGAATTTTTTTTTAAAAACGTAATCTAGAAAGCCTTCTGTATTGTTGAAATTTTGAAAGAAAAGACAAGCAAATAAAACAAAAAATCAAAATATTTTCGCTCGCAATTTTTTTTTTATTTCTTTTTTTTTTTTGTTCAAAAATACAACCAGAAAAAAACAAAAATCATTTTAAAAATAAATTTTACGTTTTTCTTTTACTCTCCTTCCTTCTCTTTTTCAATATTTCCTTCTTATTTCTTCATATATTGTTATATTTATAGTGTATATGGCACATTTCAAAGAAGTTACTATTTTGGTTCCTCGAATTAGATGAAATATTCTTAATTTGGAACAGAAATTTTACGAAATATGAGTATCTTGCCTATATTTGGTCGAACCGCTGGGAAATCATCAAAAAAAAAAAATTTTTTTTTTTTGTGCGACGACGATTTTGTTCTTTTTGTCTTTTATTTTTTTTTTTTTGTTTTCTTCTTTTCATAAATTTTTTGTTTTCCACGTTTTTTTTTTATTTATTTTTTTTTTTTATTTTTAAATATCAATTTAAAAAAGTTTTTTTTTTTTCTTTTTTTGATTTATTCTAAAAATTGTAATAATTACTCACTTCTCTATGCTACCTAAAGGGAATATTAATGACAGCTTTTCAAAATAATGATGATGATGAAAAATACAATGTATAAGAGTGAGAAAGTTCAATTTATAAATAATATTAGAAATTATAATGAATTTTTATATTGTTATATTATAAAATATAATAAAATGTCTTATTCACTATAGTGGTTGTATATATGTGTGTATATACGTATATGGTTTATTATTTATATAATAATAAAGCTCAATGAAATGAAATTTGTTTGTGTTTACATTACGGTAAATTAAATTGAATGCAATAATTAATTTAAATTAAATATATGATTTTGTATAATAGTATAATAGAAAAAATATAAAGTGAAAATAATAAAAATATTACTCAGAGAGCAAGCGTTATGTATCATGTTTATGCTCATTTTTAGTAAAGTATAAACGATAA